CCTTACATGAAAACTTTCCCATCCCCCCTCTCCAAGGGATGATAAACAGCAGGGTCAATCAGGGCTATGCAGGGGTGTCCAACCTGGGGCCTCGGGTCCCATGTGGCCCAGGATGGCTGTGAATGTGGCCCAAGACAAAATTGCAAATGAAAACATTATGAGTTTTTTTGTGTGATTTTATGTCGAAAGGTAATGTGTATCCCAAGACAACTCTTCTTCCAGTGTGGCCCAGAGAAGCCAAAACTTGGACACCCCTAGATAGCCTTCTGTGGTGTTCTTCTCTGGCCTTGGTATCACAGAAGTGCTGGCCCTATAGAATGAGATCGGAAGTGTCTCTCCCTAGTTTTGGGGGGAAGAGCTTGAAAAGGATTGGTGTTAATTCTTCAAATATTTGGTAGAATTCATCTCACTATCATCTCTTTCCTGGTTATTTGTTCAGATTTTCTATTTATAAAGTGCTTAGAATGGTGCCGCGCAGTGGTGAACAGTAAATGCTGTATAAAAGCTTGTGAAATAAAATAGCTGTACCCTTAGGATCCCCATGTTTTCCAGGCTTCTGGGGACATCTTTTTATCTGAGTGGCCAGGGATTGTTGTGAAGTCCTTAATTCTTTGGATCTTCATGGCTGAGGGCATGAAAGACAAGCATTTTCATGTTTGTTAACATAACAGCAAAGAGCAGAGAACATGGAGTCAAACTTCTAGGGCTACAATCCCAGCCTCAGGATCTCCGTGAGCCCCTGGATTCTAAACTATAAAGTAAGAGAGATGTTAGTACCTAGTTCATAGGCTACTTGTGAGGATTAACTAGTTAAGTGTTATTTAAAAGCACAAACATAAGCCCTAGCTGGGTGTAGCTCTGTGGATTGAGCTCAGGTCTCTGAACCAGAGGATCGCGGCTCAATTCCCAGTCAGGGCACATGCCCGGGTTGCAAGCCAGTTCCCTCCAGGCCAGTTCCCAGCAGGGGGCTCACGAGAGGCAACCATACATTGATGTTTCCCTCTCTCCTTCCCCTCTAAAGACAAATAAATTAATTAATTTTAAAAAACTTAAAATATAAAAGCACAAACATTGCATGTGGCACAGAGAAAATACTTTGAAATGCTTGTTTTTATGAACACATATTTGCCTCTCTGCAGAAGCGAGCAATGTGTCCTGAATTCTGCCAGGGAGCAGCCCCTCAGCATGTTCCCGGCCCACAGACTGTGTGTTCAGCCCCAGCAGGCCCCAGAGCACCTTTCCTCCTGGAGTCAGGGATTCAGAATTGTCACACACCTGTGGGGTGAAGGTGTTCCCAGTTCAGCAGAGCTTCCTCTGCTGAGAGACTAGATTATGAAGTGTACTGAGTAGACTACCCAGTGTATGCAGCCTATGTGAAAAAGAAAATTACAGCTGAGCTTCTACGTGCTGATATTGCTTTATCTTTCATGCCTGAAATAGGTCGTAACCTCGAAGTTGACAGGTGAGTGCCATTACCTCAGAATTTCGCCTCAGAGCAAGTGGTAATTAAATTTATCTGTTACTGTAATTAGACAAAAAACAAAAACCCAAACCCAAATCTTTAATCTCTATGCTTTGTCCCTATTCTCAGATTGTTCCCTCTTTAAATCTTCTTAGTTTTGCTACAAAAATAGCATGTGTTTCTGGGTCTTACTGAATCAGAACTTCAGTATTTACTTGTAGTAAATGTATTTTGGTCAGAGCTATCTTTTCTGACTATAAAATGGCTTTTTATTTTAAATTGTGCTGTGTTTTCGTTGGTCTCAATGCTTCTTGTAGTTCATTACAAGGAGATTGCTCTCCACTCACCCACTCCTTTCTCCAGTTTGACGGGGGGCATGGGCATTGATAGTCTAGTTATAGTCTATAACTTCTAGCATTATAGTCTATAACTTCTCTTTGCTTACCCAGTGAGCGCGCATGTGCCATGAAGACTGGGTTTTGACTGTTTTCTTCCCTAATGTATCTTTAGTGACTAAAGCAGGGTCAGGCTGTCCATAAGTGTGTCGAGTAAAGGGTTGGATACATGGATAGAAGAGTTACATTGAGTCCCCCACTGGACACACCAGGTTTATTTAATCAATTCTCTATTAATAGATATGTGAGTTGTTGCTGGAATTTCAGGGTTAGGCAGACAATGCATTGAGAAACATCCTGGATTAGTCTAATGAGGTGGTGGCTGCCTTCTTAACACCCACTCCTCCTCCTCTTGTTAACTACCCTTAAATTATTCTGTTCACCAAATGTGTGCCAGGTAGGCCATGTTTATCTCATGCAGAGTGAAAGGTCCACCCCTCACTCTGATGGAATGCTTTGAAACTCAATTGTAAGTTAATAGTGTAACCCCATTTAATGGTTGGCTTAAGGATGTATAAGTGACCAAATTCTGCTAAGGTGATACCATGCAGTATCTGCTGGGTGCTTCTGGGAAAGGAAGCCTCTCAGACCTTCTGGGAGCCACTCTGTTTCTTCCTCTGCCTAGATGCAAACCAGGGGGAGCATTGCCTTGAGACTCTACTCTTAGGGGAGAGACAACAGTAACTTGGAGAGCAGACACAAAGGAAGTGGGTCCTTGATAGCATTTTTGAATTGCTGAGATCAAACCATCCTTGAAGGCCTCCCTAATTCTAAACTTTTATTAGTGCATTTTTAAAGGCTGTATGAGTTGGATATTCTTTTCTTTACAGCCATGTGATTCCTAAAACATACACTCAAATTTATACATCTTTTTAATGATTTTATTTATTTATCTTTAGAGGGGAAGGGAAGGAGAGAAGAAGAGAAATATCAGTGTATGGTTGCCTCTTGTGTGTCCCCTGTTGGGAACTGGCCTGCAACCCAGGCATGTGCCCTGACTGGGAATCGAACCTGGATCCTTTGGTTCACAGGCCTGCACTCAATCCACTGAGGTACACAAACCAGGGCCATTTATACATTTTTATATGCATATGTTAATGAGATAGACTTCTAGAAGTTGATTCCTGGGTTAAAGAGCATGCAGACTTTCACCTTAATATAAATTCACAAACTGTGAACAGCTTTTAAACAAAAGAGAAAGTGACAAGATGTGCTGAAAAGGGACTTGTGGGTGGCATCAAGAAAAATGATTCATTTGTCCCTATCATTGTTTTCTCTGTGCTGCCCTGGTCCTTCTTCTCTTATGCACCTCACTTAATCTTTGTCAGGTCTCTGAATCTCCCCGCTACCCAAGGTGGTTTGGTGCATAGCTGTATATTGATGATGGGGGTGAGATGGGTGGAAAACCATCTCAGAGCAAACAGGACTCTTTCAACGCATTTGTTTCTGGGGAGAAGCCTGATATGTTTCATTGAGTAAATGTAAGGCTACTTACTTTAATAAAGAGAAGTTATATCTGTAATTAATTGAGGCCATGTGCAAATATAGAAGCAACCAATGAGAACTAAGGAAATTAGACAGGGCCCATTAATTATGACTGAATGTTCAAGACCCTGGAATGCAAAGCTCAGGAATTTGGACTTTTCCCTAATGGCAGCAATAGGTGATGTTAAGGGGTCAGGGCTTCTCCCTTCAAGCATACCACCCAGAGTTACAAAGGGATAGAAAATTTATTGTGGGGACATGTGCCTTCCTATACTCTCCTCCCCCACGGTACTCACTGTGGAGTGTTGGTATCCCCCCCAAATTCATAAGTTCAAGCCCCAACCCCCAGAGGGTTGTTATTGGGAGTTTGTGCCTTTGGGAGGTAGTTAGGTTTAGATGAGATCATCCAGGTTGAATCCCCATGATGGATTGGTGTCCTTATAAGAAGAAGACGTTAGAACTAGCTCTCTCAGCCATGTGAGAAGAAGGGATAAGGTAGCTGTCTATAAGGAAGTAGGCTCTTACCACTTCCTGCTGGCACTTCCCAGCCTTGATCTTGGACTTCCCAGCCTCCAGAACTGTGAGAAATTGTTTGTTGTTCAAGAAACCAAGTCTACAGTTCTTTGGTGACAGCAGTTCAAACCGATAAAGGCGCACCTCTTTTTCACCTGCCCACTGGGACCACAAACGTTTTCCTCTTTCAGACCTCCCCCATCTACTCCAGCATGGAGGTCTTTCCATGCTCAGACCTCGCCATGTCTTTCTCCTTGAGCCAAGCCAGATATGCACAGAAACCACGTGTTGGGCCTCGTGCTCCCAGCCATCCTCTGGATGGTTGTGGGAAAACCTGGAGCTGGGGGAGGGTGTTGCAGAGCTACAGCAGGCTGCCCATGCTGCCTTTCCAGGTAGAACTGAGAGAACAAATATCTGCCCTCTCTCACCAAGACTTCTATGACCTTAAAGTTATAGGTCTATGTTCTGCAATCTTATCTGCATTCTCACTTTTTTTTCTTTGCATACAGTTCAAAATAACTTGGGCTGGAGGCTGGAGAGACTGGTGTTGGAAGAGGGGCCTGGATTGCTGCTGGCATCATGCCTGCTAGAGCAATAAAATCCCAGTTAGAAAAGAAGAAAGATCTTGGACAGCTGTCACATAAATAGTTGAAATCTTGAATAATGTAGGAGCTCTGAGATTTTAAAAGCTTTCTCCTTCTGGAGATGTTTGTTATCCAGCCTCACAGAGTTGCATGGAGATTAGAGGAAAATGTAGCTAGAGCGCAGGGTGGCAGCTCTAGGGATGCTTGGGGGATGAGGACAGCCAGGGCTTCCTCCCAGCTTTCCTGCACACTAGCTGAGTAACTTCGGGAAGGCAGTTTTTAACTTTCTACATTGCAGTGTCACTGTGTGTTTAAAAATGTGATGGTGACAGTGACCCCTCACCTTATTCGTCTTCATATCCTCAATGTCCCATACAGCATGACATAGAGTAGGTGAGCAATGAAGTTATTTTGATTAGGTGAATAAATAACTAAACAACCTTTCGAATTCTACCCTCATATAAGAGTTCCATTCTATGACCACCCTCTGATGCAGCAGCCAGTTTCAAGAGAAAGCTGATGAATAGCAGTAAGGCCAGTTCTTGGACATATTTGGTGCGGGACAAAACACTTTTATTTAGGTACTGTCTTTGGGCATAGGAAGAAGGCGATGTTGTCTGGCAGGAAGGTGCATTTAGTTGGCAGCTATGGTTTTCTGAATCCAGCTCACGTAGTTGCAGACTTTGGTGTACACACCAGGCTTGCCCTTCAAAGCGCAGCCATAGCCCCAGGAGACAATGCCCTGCAGCTGCCCATTGCAGACCACGGGGCCACCAGAGTCACCCTGAGCAAGAGGGAAAAGCCACTCAGAACTCTCAGCCACACCCAGATGGGTAAAGGTTCAGTGTCTCTTCATTATCTAGGGACCATCTCTTCAGGCTGCTGGTCCTGCATAAAGCCCCTTCTCTCCCCATTGGAAATCTCAGCCTCCATCTCCATACCTTATCCCTGTTCTTCCTCCTCCCTCCTTCTAGCTCCTTCTTGTTCCTTAGTTGTCCAAGAAGAGGTGGGAATGGCCGAGTGTAAGCCCTGCTAGCCCTTCTCCTTTCAGAGAGTGCCCTTTTACAGTAGGCCTCCTCTGAAGGGCACCTTAGATGTCCTATTTGCAAATTACCTTCAGTGTATCTTTTTACCCTTAATTCTAACCATTCATATGGCGAAAAGAAAAACTCATTTGTCACAAACCTCCTCCTCACCCCTCAGGATCAGTCCCAGAGAAAGCCTTTCAATGTTCTGTGTTCCAGGAGAGGGAAAATTGGGTGGCAGTGGCTGAGATAGAGTTGGAAAGAGAAGGGATGTGAAGGAACTCACCTGGCAAGAGTCCTTGCCACCCTCCAGGAAGCCCAGGCAAATCATGTTGTTGGTGATTTGGTTTGGGTAGGCACTGCGGCAAGTGCTGCTGGAGAGGATGGGAGCATCCAGACACTGTGGCAGCTCAGGGTAGCTAGCTGTTGGGCACAGGAGTGAGAATAGAAGAAGGTTATCCATAGGATTCCTAGCAAATTTCTGTTCCACAATCTCTCCTCTCCTTCCCAATACTGCCACGCTTTCATTCGGGTTGCCAGTAAGGTTTACTTTGGAAGAACAATTTGTCTGGAAGACCTTCCAAAGAGTTTTAATCAACAAGCAGTTACCTCTCTGAGACTAGCGTCAGTGGCCACAGATCTCAAATCTAGAGACTTCACTTCTCAAGCATGTCTTTGCCTCAGGCAGCTCCAAATCCCTTAGCTTTGGCTCTGCTTACTGCTCAGTTCCCAATTCTCTGCAAATCACTAATCACTTCTGTTGACTACCTGGCATCTTTATTACAGTTCATTTGTGTTGTATTTTTCAGCAAAGAAATCTTCCTCATTCCCATGAATATATTCTAAGGCTCCATATATCCACAGACTTCCTCTGGGAACCTTGACTTGAGCAGCAGTTTGGACTAACTGACCCCCCACATGCCTTTGACCTTCAGGATTCTCAGACCTGTCACATTTCATGTGACACTTACTGCCGGAGCTCTTGGTGTTGCCCCAGCCAGAGATGAGACACTGGGTACCAACACTTGCACAACTTTTTGGCAGAGAGATAGGGGAGACTCGAGAGTTGAGGGTGGCGGGTGATTTCAGTTTAATCAGCATGATGTCATTATCGATGGTATCGGCATCGTAATTGGGGTGTCGGATGATCTTGGCCGCATTAATGAATTGCTCGTTGCCCTCCGAAAGTTCAATGTTGTACTCTCCCAGACGCACCTGGATTCGGCTGGATGAAAGGATTAAAAGTTTTCTCTAAGTTTTTAACTCAAGCTTTCCCCCTTACTGGAGAGCCCCAGTCACGGGCATGTGCATAGACACCACCTGCTTCCGACATTCACACACACAGGCAGCTGTACACTTAAGGTACTCCCAGCAGACACGGTGCAGTTAGAGTATTGCTTAGGTGGGTGTCACTGCAGGCACAGACTCACAGTCCCTGCTCTCATTGGAAGAGTGAGGTATAGGAACGGGAACCAATGACACCAGTGAAACAACAGGAAATAAGGGAAGCCCACCATTTCTCCCCTGGTTGGGATTACCAAGTATGGTAGGGAGATGTGGCGGCAATCAGAGTTATGAGAGCAGAATGAGCTTGCTTATTGTCAATGTCCAGGGAATTTCATGTATCTTATTACCTCCATATCGCCTTGTTTCTGGGTGAGCTATAAGGATTAATGCTGTCCTCACCAGTATATATACCTCACCACTCCCTATTCCCCTTCCCTGTCTTTATTGGGAAGGATATCTGGGAACGCTAAGGGAACCACGTGAAAGTCCCTCAAGACATCTTTCAGTGCCTGGGGGAACAATGAAGTTCTTAGAACATGCATGTTCACCCCTTGATCCCAACTCTGTTGTTTACCCCTCTCGGGCCGTGCAGGGCAGGGGGATGGATGAGTTAATACGCACAGGGATGTGAGCTTCGGTTACTTACGACTTGTAGCAGTGAGCCGCGGACACCACCCACTGGTTGTTGATGAGGCTGCCGCCGCAGAAGTGGTACCCAGCGTTCAGGGACACCTGGTAGGGGATGGAGTTCCTTTCGCAGGTGTAGCCCCCGACGATCTTGTCATCATCATCACTGGAGGAAGCAACTGACAGAGGAAAGTTGGAAAACTGCCCGTTAAATGAGTCCATCTTGGAATTTGGACTCACCTCCAAGTATTTGCAGATTAACCAGAAAAGATCAAATACTATTTTCCTGTCACACATAATCAGGAAATAGTGATATTGAATGTAATTTTTCTAAAACCTCATTTTTTTTACCTTTAACACATACCCTACTTATCCACTGGTAAGTATCTATGTTGTTTTAAACCCTTACCCGAGAACATGCTTATTCATTTTAGAGAGAGTGGAAAGGAGTGATCAGAGAGAGAGAGAGAGAGAAACATCTCATCAATGTTTCTCATCAATGTTCAGTCGCCCCAACTGTGGACCAAACCTACAACCCAGGCATTTGCCCTGGCTGGGAATCAAACCTGTGACCTTTTGGTTTACAGGATGACATTTCAACCAACTGAACCATGCCAGCCAGGGGCATGATTTTTAGTTTATGCTTTCAGTTTGATAAATATACTGTTTGATTCATATGTGATGCCCTCCACACATAGATAGGAGACTCTTTACATAACAAATGTCCCAAACCCCACCACCTAAGAATAAGGCTGTGCTCAGCATCCATGCAAACGGGTGTTCAGTAAAGCTTCTCAGTACCCAGGGTTATGTTTGTCTGTCTGTGTTGGCACAGGATACATATGCCCAGGAGGTAACAGAAAGAAAGCCTTGAGAAGTCACCTGAGAATGTGCTATCCTAGAAAAAAAAGGGACTTCTGTACTTCCATCCCCCTCCACCACCCCAGAATTTCTCTTTTAGGTTCTCACCTAAAATTTTCACAAAATAATTTTATAGAGCATTGTAAGTTTTTCATCGCCTACCTTTCTCCCTTTACCCCAATTAGCTCTCCAATATTTTTCAATTGATTCAGATATGCTAAGGTTTCTTATGGCTCACAAAGTATTTCATCATATTCTATGTGCCCTGTTGTCCATGTATGTTAAAGTAGTTTTGAGAAAGACATTTCCAGGTATACAGACCACTGTATGGAATTTATACCTGCCCAATTTGAGAAAATTTAGTAGTATAAAAATAGTCATTTCTCTATCTCATTTGATGATCGACTGACATGTTATTTTTACAGTGGAGAGGTTTAATTAGCAGAGATATAAAACCCTACCCATAGCTTTTATTCATGAGAAATAAAATATCTTGGCCTGTTATGATCCCTGCTAAGATGCCCTTTAGTCTAGAGGAGACTCAGGGTCTGACCCTCCCAGCCTCTGCAAGGGGCGCAAGGTTTGTCATTAGTCCTGGTTATTAACTCCAAATCCTTAGCAAGGTCAGAGGTGCATTTCCTCACCACTGAGTATCCCTTCCTCTCTCCTCTCCTTCATGGAGTTTACCTTCAATCTTAGGGCAGATTCTGCCCCTTTATGCCTACTCTACCCTGATCACTTCCACTCAGCAATCTCTCCCCAACAAGTATGGTTTATGTGTCTGTAGACATATAGACTATGCACTTGCTGTCTTGATGTTTTAAGACTCTTGACTACAAAGGAGATTACATTCCATACTCATTGTTGTCTTCCAGAGTACGACATGCAAGCTTAAATATATGCTGGACACCTATGGATTCATTTAGCTACAGAGACTCACCAGCAGCTCCCAGGAGAGCGAGGAAGATGAAGGCCTTCATGGTTGCTCACCAGGTCTGGATTCGCATAGGATGAAGGGCTTTATTCCTCCACTATTTATACCTCCAGGCTTGCCATCACCGCCATGGCCACAGGTGCCAGACACGTGATTTCATGGGCAACTCACAAATCCCAATTTACATTTTAGTTCTGTATCAAATTGAGGATAATTCAGCATTAAATGTAAACATTAACCACTTTTCCCAGAAGGTTATGGGAATGAAAGTGAGGGCCCCACCTGGTGGGAGCTGTGCCCTGTGATAGAAAAGTAAGTTGGAAAAAGGTCATGGAACAAGGCTGCAGATGTTCTGATTCCCAGGCAAAAGGCTTCAGCACTTGGTCGTTCCTCCAACAGCTGTGAACCTTTATCCTGAAGAGGACCTTGTACACTGTACCCTTGATGTTGAATTAACTCTGGCTCTTTTGCAATTATATAACTTTTCTTGTGGCAACTCTGGTCTCATATATTCATGTTAACTTTTTGTGACTAACAGAAGCATCTTACTCCCCTGAGAAGAGGAAAATTACTCTGATTGGCAATTACAAGAGATTTAAACAGGAGAGTGAAAGAATAACTCACATGTATCTAGAACTTACTGTGTATTAGGACTTTTCTAAATACTCTGCCTATGGTTAATTTAGTAATGCTCATACTGACCCTACCAAACACCTATTATTATCCCCACTTTACAGATGGGAAAACAGAGACACACGAAAGTGTAGGGAACTTGACCCAAATCATGCAACGGGTACATGGTAGGATCAGGATCCCAACCCAGGAAATTGGGCTTCAGAGTCCATGCTATTAACCACTGGGAAACACTTCTCCAGTAAGTTCACCAAAACCTGGAGACCAAGATGACAGAATTCTTGGCCAATGATAGGACCATTGAAATTTGAGGAGTGCTCACAATGTGTCAAGCACCGTGAACAGAATCTCCATATATCGATTCATCCAGTCCTCACCAACAGCTTTATGACTATGCCTATGGTTTTTACCTTTTTGTAGGTGAGAAGGGTGAGGCTGAGAGAAGTTTTGTGATTTGCGCTAAGTTTTACAGCTATAGAGTGGTCAACACAAGGTTCAAACTCAAGCAGCCTTGTATCAAGGTTCATGTCTTCCACTGTGACACCATGATCATAAGCAAAGACAACAAGCTGCATGCTATCCAATTAAGGGATGACCCCAGGAAGCATAGAGAATTCTGAGAAATCTAAGAAATGGGTTCCCGGAGCGGGAATTATCATACTAATGGGGCACAGAAGGGAAATCCAGAGTATGTGGCACTCAGTGAGAGCTAACCCCCGGCTTCTACATCCGCAGGTACACCCGAACGGTCCACTGGGGCGCTCTGGCTGCTTCAGCAAAGCATCCCTCCAGAAGTAGGTCCTGTTTCCTTTACCTTTGAAATTTTGCTGATATGAAGATGATTTACTAGAAGAGTTTCTCAACCCCATTGACTTTTTGGGCCAGATAATTTTTTGTTGTGGGGAACTGCCCTGCACACTGTACCATATTAAACATATGTATATTTTTAATCCTCACCCAAGAACCTATTTATCGATTTGAGAGAGAGAGGAAGCAGGGAAGAAAGAGAAGCATTGATTGATTGCCGCCTGTTCATGCCCTGACTGGGGATCGAATCCGCAACGTTTTGGTACGCATGGTGACATTCCAACTAACTGAGCCACTGGGCCAGGGCCATACTGTAGTATATTAATCAGCTACCCTGGCCTTGGGTTACAAGTAGCACTGGTCCCTCCTCCGAGTTATGACAAAGAAACATGTCTCCAGACATATTACTAAATGTCCCTCAGGGGTCAAAGTCATCCCCAGCTGAGAATGAGAAGGTGGGCAAGGGAACTACTCAGGCTCTATGGGGAAGTGCCTCTGGCTTCAGGCCACCTGAGGTGCTCAGTAACTCCTGCAAGAGTGATTCACAAGGCAGTGAGCTGCTTTTTACAGGTCCCTAAAAATCAGGAGATACTAAGGAGGAAGAGGAGGGTTTGGTCCAGAAAAGGAGAGGCTTCTTGTCCTGTTTGATTCCCTTGCATTGCTGATACCTTCACGATGCAATATGGGAGGCTGTCTGATTTTACGTCACCCCTGAAACTGCTCCTGAACCTACCAGACATCTTGGGCAGCATAAGAAATACAATGTCTTACAACAGAGTTTTCCCAATAGCTGGCCCGTGTGCAGCTCTGTCCTAGAATGTTGTCTCCTGTGTGTCCTTGGCTTTGTCCCTTAGACCCCCTGCCCCTTCTGCCAGGGAGGGAAAGAGTGGGGATTGCCAGGTAAGGGGAGTTAGCTAGGATTGATTGCAAATCCCCAAGGACACACTTGAAGCAAAGGCACAGGGGCCTGTCTGGCTGCAGTGGGATGATTCATTCACCTATAGCAGCAGTGGGGATGTGGCGAAAGTGCCAAGCAATGGGCTTCGGGCTTCAGTTCTCCCCTTGTCACGCATGGAGCACGTAAGCCACTTCTTCCAGTGCCTGAAACATAGTTTTGTTCTGATATTTACATAGACTTCCTCCCTACCCACTCACAAGTCTCTCCTTAAGCAAAGACATTGATGTTTTGTATGTTGGTGAGTTTTTACCTAATGCACATTAATGTGAACATATGCAAGTTAATAAAATAACTCTTTAAATACATCCGGCTTTTTGAGCACTATCTAAAATCATGTTGGCCCTGGCCACTGTGGTTCAGTTGGTTGGAGCTGTGGTCCTGCAGACCAAAAGGTGGCAGGTTTGATTCCCGGTCAGGGTACATGCCAAAGCTGTGGGGTTCAATCCCCGGTTGGGGCATGTATGAGGGGCAACTGTTCGATGTTTCTCTCCCCTGATTTCTCCCTCCCTTCCTCTCTCTCTCTCTAAAATAAATAAATAGATAAAAATAAAATCACATTGAAGACTACTAGTGATGAGCACACCACAGGTTAGGCAGATGGTTGGACAAAATAAGAGGGGGAAAAATTAAAGATCACTGGCAGTGAGGGTGGTGGTGGTGGTGGCCATGTGTGGAGGGGGTGGGGCAGAGCCAATCAGCAGGTCAGGTGAAAGCCATTAGTGTTCTAAGTGAAGGTGACTAGGACGAAGCTCCCTGCCAAAGGGGACAGGAAAACTGGGTCCCCGTGAGGAGTCTCTCTATGTAAACCCCCACATGCAGTTTGTCACTGATGTGAACGGGGTGAACAGATCTGAAGAAGATACTCTCACATGACTGTGAAGGTCCAGCCTTCACAGACCAACAAGATGCCTTTTCCTTCTCAAATACTGTGAGTCATCCTGTGAAGCTGGACCCTGAAGAATTGGGCTGCAGGCTCCCAGAGTCAAAAGATATTCTTGCCTGTCCTTTATGTGAGCAAAACTTATGATCTCAGTGACATTGATGAATTCCGTTGACAACCAACACAGGACATGCCACATGGTGTGCAGGTCTGTTTCCACAGGTCCCTCCTGTGAACAGAGCTGTCAGCCACGTGTGGGGAATGCCCGCACTCTACCTGTGCAGAGTAGGTTGATGCCTGGTCTTCTTTCCCTCCCTTCACCCCCATGGTGGCCCAGAGGCGTGGGTCTGTATTTAATTAATCTGTACTTGGCCCCTTGCTTTCCCATGCACATCACTCAGTGGCCTTGGAGGACTACACTAACTTTTTCCTAAACTGCAGTCTGACCGGGCTCCAGCAAATATATTGACTTTTGTATTGGGAGGAGCAAGTCAGCGGCCTCTGAAAGCCATTTCACCCTGTTTCTCTCACAGGGGCTGGTTCTTCTCTTCCCTTAGCCTCTCCAGCCACCTCCCTGCTTCACCCTCTCTGTTCACTGAGGCCATGCTGGCTCTTAGCAGATCCACTGCGCAAAAATGTAAAAAATGAGAATTACTCTCCTTCAAAAAACATGTACTAAGAAACTTATCTTTTAAAAAAACTGGAGTAAACAGGGCAGCAAATTACAGGGGGGGGGAACCTCCAAGGGACAAAGGATGTGCTTGTGGAGTAACCGCGATGCTGACCTGTGTGTCTAAGCTGAACTTGTGCCCTTTGCCATGCATGAAACATCAATGACTAGCATGTTCTTCCTGGGTAAAGTCAACCCCAGAACCAGACCTGGGTTTCCTTGAGAAGCCCACTCAAGGGTGGCATTTGTCTGGGAGTCATTTCTATGCTGGCTACCTGTGATGCTCTGTGGAGGGTTCGATAGGAAGTAATTTAGGCTTTGCAGGCAGCCTGGCCCCTGTCACAATTACTCTGCTGTTGAAACAGGAAAGCGACCACATGTAAAATGTCATTTACTGAAACAGACTGGGGGCCCGACTTGTCCCTGGGACACAGCTTGTTGACCCTGCTCCAGAAGCTAGAGAAGAAACTCTTTCAGTGCCTTGTATCCAGACTTGAAACAGGGGAGTGGCTCCGTTTCAATGATAAGGTCTGGCTTGAAAGGAAATCAGTAATGTTAAAACAAATATCTCTCTGTTGCCTTTACCTCAAATCACGTTTTAGGGGAAAAAGGAAGAAGAGAGGGGGGTTGGGGCTGGGGTGACAGAGAACAGGGCAGAGGAAAGGAGAGATGACAGATGGAACACTGGATCAAAGTATGAGAAGCCCTAAAATGGAAGTGGAAACATTTGGGACATGATTTTTTTTTTTAAGATTTTATTTATTTATTTTTAGAGAGAGGAGAAGGGAGAGAGAAAGAGAAGGAGAGAAATGTCAATGTGTCATTGCCTCTTGTGTGCCCCCTACTGGAGACCGGGCCTGCAACCCAGGCAACATGTGCCCTGACTGGGATTCAAACTAGCGACTCTTTGCTTTGCAGTTGGGCACTCCATCCACTGAGCCACACCAGCCATGGCTGGGACATGCTTTTATGTGCTGATATGAACAGAATGCTAACTAAGGAATTGCAGGGCTCCTGTCTAGCTACAACAATAAGCCTCATCCTGACAGACTTCCTTCTGAGACGGGAGGGCTGAGGGCCAATTACAACCCTGTGGCTATACATCCTTCTCTCTAAGGCCCCTACCGCCCTCCACTCTCCACTGAGGGAGAACCAGGTCCTGATGTTCATTTTCTCTTTGGCCACAAGGAGGAGCTGTGACTCTACTGAGAGGCAGGAAGCAGTTGAGAGGACCCCCCTGGATGGAAGAGGGTTAAGGAAAAGTCTGGTTTTGCTTGCAACATGTGGTTGGCAGAGGCTGGGAGTCAGCGCTGCAATGTGAGGGGTTAAATGCAGAGTCTCCTGCTTGGTGTGGACCTGCAGGTGTTCTTGTCCCAGCACAGCCCGCACTGCCAGACCAGCTGCTGTGGGCCTGCATGCAAGTAGGGAGAAGCAGGGTGGTGGAGAGTGGAGCCCGCAGACAGGTGCGGGCTAGGGGCTTTCCTGAGACAACCTGAAGGCTGTGGGGCTGGGAGGGGAGCTCCTGGAGCTCAGGCAGGAAGCCTGACCGGCCACAAGTTTCTTGGGGACCTTGCAGAGATGACACTAACCTAGGGACATGAAACTACCAAGCTGAGGGAGACCCCAGGCCCCACTCCCCTCACTCCAGAGAATCAGGGAGTTGAGCCAGGAAGGGTTTCATTCTTGTCCCTCTGCTGGGTGGTCTTCTGAGTTCTTGGAGCAGGAGAGTTCTTGGCAATAACAGGAAACCCTTCTGGGTTTGATAAAACGGTTCTGTCAAAATACCAGCAACGACGTCCTTCTGGACATTGTCGAAAATACTTGATACCAAGGAACCTAGAGATAAAAAAGACAGACATCCAAAACCCGGATCTAAGACAGGGCTTCTCACTGTTTTTCATTCCAGGCTCCGGTTTTGATTTTTTTTTAACCACTGGAATTTTCCTTGCTTCTTAAAAATCCCAGAAGTCCATGAAATTACATTTGACGCCAACTCTAGCTGTACACAGCAGGAGGAAGCTTCAGAATAGGTGTATGTTCCACCTGACTGCCTGATGCGGAAGTCTAGCTGGTGGGCACTTTTACCCTTAGCCCTAGCAAAACTGTTAGCCCTTCTGTGAAGGTTAATTTTGTGGTTCACCTTAGTCTGGAACAGAAGAACCTGCCAAAGACAGCCAACTCCTTTGCCTACATGCAAATCTAAATTTCTTAACTGTGTGTATTTTAAGTCACTTTCAAAATCAGTTGGAAGTTATCACTACCAGAAAACCCAGAAACACACACTTCATACTTCTAAACTCAATATTGAATGTTCTTTGAGACTAACTTTAACTTAAGGCTTGAGAAGTCAGAGTCCCCCCAAATCTTCCTCATACCACAAAACACCTACAGCTTCTTCTAAATTAAAAAAAATAGGAGACATATAATCATGTTTGAAAGTTAATAAATAAAGCCTGTGCATCGTAGTATTACATTTAATTTTTGTTAATTGTTGCTCATGTTACACTCAAGTGACTTCCAGATTAAACACTTACAATCCAGTAGAAATAGTCAGCATGGATATTTTAAGTGGCTAAATGAGACTTCAGTAGCTACACAGGGCAACAGCATGGATTGAAGGTTCATGAAGGTGAATGACCAGCAGCCTGTACCATTTGGTTTGGATCTGGATTTTCTTTTGGAAAACCAAGAACCAGATCATGGTTTGATTCCCAGTCAAGGCACATGTCTGGGCTGCAGGCCAGTTCCCAGCAGGGGATGCACAAGAGGCAACCTTACATTGATATTTCTCTCCCCCTTTCTTTCCCTTCCCCTCTAAAGATAAGTAAATAAAATCTTTTTTTTTTAAAGAAAACCAACAACCATTGGTCCACCAACAGGCAAGTGACTTCAAGAATTGATATGTATGTTGACTTTTGTATTGTTATCAGACAGAAAGGGGATTTCTTTCAAGGTCAGAGCTAGCAGGAACCAGCAGCCAGCTGAGCAGAACGGGAGAGGGTCGTGGTCCTAGTTTTAGAAACCAGTTCTGAGCACCGGTGAGAGAGAGACAGAGTCTGATGAAACTGGCATCTCCCTGGGACTCCGTGCCCAGGTAACTAAGTGTGACAGAATTGGACACAAGAGGTTTCCCTTCTGTGCCTGTTCCCCAGAGCACACAGCCTGGGTTCTCCAGAGCTGGTGGAAGGAGGCAGCTTCACCAGGCAGAGTCGTGTCCTTGTTGAAGTCACACAAAGCAGAAGCAATGATGGAGGTCTTGTTTCTAGAATAGAAAGCAGACTTGGCTTTTAAACAAACCAGCACACATGCTTTTTCCCAGGAACACCAGACCTTGGGGAGGCGTCCACACAGAAGCAGGAGAGTAAATATTGGACAGCCCCAAATAGGACCGATGTCCAGATACGCTTTCTGCTCTCTGCCCCTTGCCCAGCCACTGCCCCTTTGTTCCAGTTCTTCTTGAGCCTCACCCCCACTGGTCCCAGGACCCCCCACCTCATCGTGGATCAAGTTATCTTCATGCTAATTCTCTTGCAGTGTCTTCTCCTCTTTACTTTGTTGCTGCTATCAAACCCGGGCACTGCCCAGGCACCCCCGTGCCCGCCATCTATTCTTTCTGTCAAGGCTTCCCCTTCTGCAGTTCAGCAAAGAGGGATCGAAGGACCCATTTCCATATTCTGTTTTATCCCTTGCATGATTATTGACAAGCAATGAAAAAATCGTCCTTTCCTACCTCTCCTGTAACAAATATAAAACAACCGGAACTAACCTTACGTCACCAGCTCACATTCCTTTACAGCAGGCCCTTTACAAGGGCCTCATTGGATGAGGCGCATCTGATTTTTCAAGAGCTCTCGCAAAAAATAGTAAAGCATAATTCTCCTGGAATCTACTTGTTAACAATGGTTACATCTTCATATCTTCACAATCTTCACATATCTTCAAAGTATTATATGTAGCCTCTTGTCAGTTTTTTTGGTAGAGTTGTTTTTTTTTTTTTTTTACTATATCCACCTGATTGGTTTACTCCTGTATCTCCAGACCTTGCTCTGTGTTGAGATAAAGAAAATATGAACACTGGGGGCTCTTAGAAGGGGTTCCCACTGGGAATTGACTGTGTTGCCAAACTGTGTGTGTGTGTGTGTGTGTGTGTGTGTGTGTGTGTGTGTGTGTGTGTGTAAGATGTCCCTGAGGCAAGAGGCTGCCCTGGTTCCCCACCTCACCCTTGGTCCTTGCTGATTTGGGATTATTAAGGGCTGGAGCCTGGCCCAGTGGGCCCTGAGAGCTGAGAACTGTGCTTTGCTGACCTCCAGGAGGTGCTGTGGCACCACCCAAACCCCTAAGGTTGGTCCAGGACAGAAGGGAGGAATGAAGAGAACGCTATTTCTCCAGGAAAATGATTTGGTGGAATCTGGAGGCAGTTTTGGTTGGCATAAGTGGAGGCAGGCAGTGAGTGCCACTGGCATGTAGTGGCTAGAGACCAGGGATCCTACTAAATACCTTGTTTGTCCAGGACAACAGGTACCACAAGGAGGAATTATCTTGTGCAACATGTCAGGACTGCTGAGGCTGAAAAACTTCAGAGGTGCGGTTCATCTCCCCCAGGACCCGTGAACAGGGTCTGCTCCTAACCACCATCAATTCATGCCATTTGAAATGGTCTCTGCTGGTTCTCGGGGGAGACCTCACGGCCAGTCTCTGCCCACAGCTGAAATGATGTGTGAGTGTAAATCAGACGTGGAAGGGAGCCAAGATGTGAGTGGGATCGTCCTGCATTACTCTGAAGGAGAGCAGGCTGAGTGCAGGCGGCACAGGGAGGGAGGAGGTGGCCCGTTGCTGGGGCAGGATGACGTCAGATGAACATCCTTGAGACAACCTGCCTGCCCCATCCAACTACCCCAAAGTCAAAACCCCAAAGTCAAAGGACTGCGCTTGTACTTTGAAAACAGTGCAAGTTGAAACTCCTTTGAAAGGAGCAAGGGCAGGATGTAAAGAAAGAAGAGAACCCATCTGAGGAGAGCCTGAGAATGGGGAAATCGTTCTAGGCTCTGATGCCACAGCAAAGCCTGCGTTGGGGCCGCGGAGCACTGGTCTTTTCACCACCGGGAACAAGATCCTGTGCTAGGGCCCTGAACCCACCATGGGCTCCAGGCTCCTCTGCTACGTGGCCCTCTGCCTCCTGGGAGCAGGTGAGTGTGGAGTCAGGTGACATGACCCACTCAGAGTCTCCAGCATAGTCACAAAAACGGCAACATGCTGCATCCTGGGTCTTGTCTGAATTCTGCCTCTTTTCTTCTCAGATCTCTTGGACGCAGCAGTTTTTCAGACTCCAAAGTACCTCCTTGCACAGGCGGGAAAGAAGACGTCCCTAAGATGTGAACAGAAGCTGGGCCACAATGCCATGTACTGGTATAAGCAAGACTCCAAGCAATTGCTGAAGGTTATGTTTGCCTACAATAATAAGGAGCTTTTTCTAAATGAGACAGTTCCAAGTTGCTTCTTACCAGAATCTCCAAACAAAGCTGAGTTGAAACTTCACATTAACTCCTTGGAGCTGGGCGACTCTGCCCGGTACCTCTGTGCTAGCAGCCAAGACACAGCCCTGCAGAGTCATCACCTCCCTCTACACAAACCCACAGGCCCAGCCAGGAAGCTGGGGTACAACAGGTTCAAACAACAAGGCTCCCTGCTCCCATCTGTGAGGCCCCTGATGGACTTTCATCTATAGCACAGCCCGTAATACCCAACAGGGCAGTTCTGCAGTTCATGCACCCAGAACTCTTACAGATTCCACCCACCAGCTACAGCAGGGGTTCCAGTAAGCTCACCAAAGCACGCAGGACCCCACAGACATGACAGGGCCCAGCCACTGAAGATCTTAACAAATGGAAGGAGCCTTTCCTTTGCTTTCTCTGCTGTACACATTGGTGCATGTTACACAGAACAATATTACTAAAAACACACTGTTGAAAATGTTTGATGAGTGAAAGCCAAAAGGAGATGTGAAAGTAAACGTTTTTAAGACCAAAAGGAAATTTGGGTGGATTCCCTGTTTAACAGAAAAATATTTGGAGAAGCACGAACATCCATGGGAATAGGTGAGCTAGAAAGAAAAAGGGAGGGTGAAGAGCTGACAGAGGTAGCCTTGTGCATTGCAGACTCTCACTCCCAGGAGCTGACCAGGGATCCTTCCCTATTCTGACTCTCACCTCAGAAGCCCCCTGCAGAGGAGGCAGCAGCAACATAATGGAGGATGTTATGAGACATGGAAAGGAAGGACTTTGGACACAAATCTCTGGGCAGTAGCTAGTCCTTGATCCCACTTGATGTGAAATGACATGATCAAATTTGGGTTTCGTACAAAGCACAGTGGTAGAAAGATGGAATTGGGATGGAATGAACAATTAGGAGACCATTAAAATATTCTACATGAAGAATTATAAAGGGATTTATTTACATAGAACATTGTGGATGATGTAGAATGAGGACTCTGGATTATGATATGTTCTTCTGAAGAGTGTTAAGTGTTATCCTGGCAGGTTTCAATGTGGCATTTGCCAGAATTTATTTTAATTAATATTTTTCTCTGAGGGAGCCTGTGCAAGTGTCCCTATAGCCAGTGCATGCACTTGCTGGGATCCTGGAGGAAATCACAGCTATTCATCCATGTGAGAGTCTTCTCAAATCTCTGTTCAGCTCTCCAGCCTTCCACCACCTGTTCTGGTCTGAGCCTCCTAGAGCCCTCACCGTCTATACGCAGTAGGAATTGGTCATGAAAAAGGAAGTTCCTTCCATGCATCCTTGGAACTCCCTTTCTGTCCCCTATACTGCAAACCCTAGCTGTCTTGGAATCAGTTATGTCTTTCCTATTCATCTTCCAGCAACAGGTGCCATTATTATTTTATATCGGCAACGTTCATTTGAATATAGTTACATATTTATTATTCACTTTCTTACTATGTCTTCTTGTCATTAGGACCACCTGTCAAATACTTTCCTTCTTCAGGCTCATTCCCTAGTTGGATAACTTTAACCCACCCTTCACCAACCCCTTGCTTCCAGGATCACTTACATTGGCCATTGTTTCAGGGCTACCAAGCCTTTCACTTTCCCTCATAGTTCAAGGTTTCAGTCAAATTCTGATTGTTTTGCAAAATCTTTGGAATTTGTCTTACTTATTGGGAGTCAAGAAATGTCATTCAACTTTATATATTCAGACTTTCACTGTTTCATCTAGAGGGGCCATCAGAGTGTGTCTTTGCTGTGGTGGATGTCAGTATCAAAGCGATGTTAACAGAAACAATGCCAGCCTTGCAAGGAGGGCTAACTCCAGGTTCTTATCTGAGAATGGAGTATCTCCTACCCTGGTGGACTGAGGGTCCACCACACATGCCACATGTTCAGGAAAAATATCCACCCTCCTTGCTTACATTCTAACCTGTGTGCCTTCATGTTTAGTTTCTTTTTTGGGCCCTATTTAAAATCTGACAGAATTTATTGTGTTAGAAATCACTACCCCTTTCCTTCTGACCCAGCACTCAGATGTAAAGCATGGGTATCCAACATCTCTACCCCCAACATGGATGAATATAAATACTTGTTATTCCAATTTGGTGGTAAACACTGAAGTGAATAATAACTGGTATAGTAAAAAGTCATTTAGCAGTTTATAGATGCTTTCATTTTTGTATTTGTTCATCCATTTACATTTTCTGATATGAAAATTCAATACTTGCCCAAATGGTACCTGTGAGCAAATTACCTGATACTCCAGTAACTCAGCAGGTAAAAAGGACAAACAGGCAGTGAAGTAGGAATGGCTCCTGCTAGGTCACCCTAACGAGTCCCAAATTGGAGAGCTGTCTCCAGAAATGACGTTCCTGGCTTGAACTCCAACATGGTAGACCTGGACAGGGCTTTGGAGTCACTTCATTGCAGCCCCTCATGTAATCCTTGTCTACAGTGTCAGACATTTCAAAGCGCCCTGATCCCTGAAACACTGAATCCATTTCTGAGACACTGTATGATGCATGGAGTCCCCTTGCCATTTCCTGTGACTATGTTGGAGGACCCCACTGCAGCAGAGTTCCGTGGGTGAGCATGACCTTCCATGCTTGATGCTTGCTCCTGGCTGAAGCTGGGGGACCATTTGGTGAACCAAGCTGGCCTCTCAGCTCCACAGGGGCTGGGATATTTCTGCAGGGCTGTGTTTCCTTCATTACTGAGCACTGAGACACAGCCCCTTTCTGTTGAGTAAGCACTGGCTGTCCTAGGTAGGTAGATCAGTGGGTGCTGTTGCTGACTACTTTTGTTATTCTGGCTGCTTCTTTCCTCTTCACACTTCCCTAGGTCTTCAACCCATCATAGCTGTTCCTAGCCCATAGAATGAGGGGTGGGTCTGCATTGCTGGCCCTGGGCTGTTTGGTAGGAGTCCTAACATCTGAGAAATCTGCTGCTTTGGCCACAAGGAGGAGCTGTGGCTCCATTGAAACCTCTGAGTTGGGGAAGGGACAGGATTGGGAGTGGGGGAGGGGTGTGATGAGGGGGGGCACTAGAGCCTGAGGCTCCAACCTCATACCAGCTGGGACCATCAGTGGTAGACCTCCCAATGATATTAGACTAAAATTGTCTTCAAATTGATCTACCTTTGCCAAACACCAACACTCGTGTTCTCTTTCAACAACTGTTAGTGCTAAGCCCAGCCAAACCCTGTAACCTCAAAGCAGGTGCAGAGACTGGCTGACCCTCATACACCTCCCTCAGCACGCTTCCAGGTGTCTGGCCCAGGCTGGAATCACATCACACATTTAAAATGATGGGTGTGGGTCCATCCTAACTTACCCACTGCACTCAGTTGGGCAAAGAGGCTCCAAGGATCCTAGACATGGAGACAAACAATATTTGGAGTAACATCCTGCCTGACTGAGAGGGTCTGTGTCTCACAGAGGGTCCTGGAAGGGAGGAGGGTGGAGAGAGAATCTACACAGGGAGGAAGGAGCTAAAGGCAAAGAGCAATTGTTAGGGGAACAATCCACCTCAGTCCATTGAGTTCCTCCTTCTATCAGAGCCTTTATAAGGCATTAGAGGGGGAGGTGTCTCCTGGGGCTGGGGAAACTGTCAGGGACAGTGACATCAACCAAGCAGAGCCACCAACCAAGGACAAGGAGATCAGAGCCTGGATCCTGCTCACCCTCTCCTGCTCCAGGGCATCCTAGTTAGAACGTTCCACTCATCCAGACTCCACCATGGACTGTTGGCTGCTGGGCTGTGTGGCCCTCTGTCTCCTGGGAGCAGGTGAGTGTGGGGCTCCAGTGGGCTGCCCTTGGATCCTCATCCACTCCCCTGTGGCTGCAGCAACACCCTTCCTTCTGGGCTGGGTCTGAGTTTTGTCCCTTTTCCCCCACAGTATGCCCAGACACTGGAATTACTCAGGTACCAAAGTTCCTGGTGATGGGAATGAGAGATAAGAAGGTTTTGCAATGTGAACAACATCTGGGACACAACACTATGTACTGGTACAAACAGAGGGCTCACAAGGCACTTCAGCTCCTGTTTATCTATAGCTATAAGGATGTGACTGAAAATAATACCGTCCCCACACGCTTCACACCCCAGCGCCCAGACACCTCTCAGTTACACCTTCACCTGGATGCCCTGGAGCCAGAAGACTCAGCCCTGTACCTCTGTGCCAGCAGCCAAGACACAGCCCTGCAGAGCCACCATGTCCCTGTGCACAAACCTCCAGGGTCCACCCAGGAAGCTGTGGGGAAACCGGGTTCCCTAGGGCAGTTCCTGTGAGACCTGAGACAGCAACCTCAGAGCAGAATACTGCCTGTCAATTCACTGGGTTCCCACACAGACAGCAGCCTGTGACCTGGCCAAGTCCTCAACAAGACTGTCCCTGGACAGAAAAGTTGAAGCATAAGTTTTTCAGCTTCTTCCTATCAGCTTGTGACCCTGGGAAGTCTTTCATGAGACACGTTACAGTGTGACCCCAGACTCCCTCTGTTAGGTACCTTTCCCTGACTTCATTTTCCATCCAAGTGACACCTGGGTCCCAACACGGATCCAGCTCTAAATGTGCTCTGGCTGTTACCAAAACCTCTCATCCCCCCACCATGCGACTTTGTCAGTTCCCACCCCTGAGGACAATAGTTCCCTCATTCATTTGGGTTATTTCCTTCCCCTTGATCAGACTACAAGTGACGTGGTTCAGGCCTCTGGATCATAGCACTGAATCATTGGCCTTGGATCATAGCACTGGATCATTGAGCATGAGAGGGGACACTGGGTCCCCCTTGGGTGCAGGTCTTCCAGCCTGGTCCTACTGTCCTGAAGCCCCCATCCTCTGAGGGCCCTTTTCAGCTCCAGTATTTTAGGGAAAGCCTGTGGGACTGCATGCTGCAGGACGTGGGGCTGAGCCCTGGCAGCCACATGTCTACACAGGCACTGTCTCAAAGTTCTGGTCCTTACCCTAGAAGCCAGAGCCCTGAGTGGGGAAGACACCCTGCCTCTCTGACCTGCCATGTGCACCAGCCTCTGTGTTTTGTGGCCCTGGGAGCTGGTGAGTCAGAAACACAAGGAAACTTTTGATGTGAGCTTTTCATTGCCAGGTCTTCAGTATTTCCTTCACCTGGACAATGGCTTGCTTCCTTATCTCTAGCTGAGTTTCCATATCATCCTAAACAGAACCCATGGATGCTTAAGTCAAACAGGTGACTAGATCTC